TTTTGGGAGGCTTACAGTCATAGATCAAAATACTGTCTCAACGGTCTCTTCAACACATAAACTGGTTATTGAAACTCTTTCAACTTTTTAAATCTACTCTTTGCTTTGTGCTAAATCTGAACCACAGTTAATTATGAGTATATAGATATTTATAACTTCCTCTTATAAGTAACCTGTGATATCCTGGCGGGAAAAGATCAAGTTGAGTTATTTAATTAGTAAAACGTACTCATTTATAAAAAAAATTGTATGCAAAAAAAACCAACAACCCACATCCACACTGAAATGTGATGTTTTGAATGAAAGTAATGGTTCTCTGAATACACACTCTTGATCAATTCATGTCTCTAGTGAGACATTTGGCAAATTAATTTTAAATAACAGTTCAGAGTGCTGTTCATAATATGATGAGTTCATGAACTCTTTTCATTGGCTCTAAGAATGAGACCAATATCAAACATGTTAAAGCATATAAAGAAATACATGGTGTGTGTGGTGTCAACGTTAGAAGACCCAAACTTATTAAAGAGACATCTTTGTGACACTCCTTGAACCAAATCAATGCAGGCTTATTTAGGGATTCTACCTCACTAGCATCAAATAGTTGCAATGATGAGCATGTCTGTGGTACACACAAATAAAACCCAGGGATAGATACAGGAGTGGCTGGCTGTTGGTTGTACAACAAGTGCAAGTTATATATACATGGCAAGCTTCAAGAATCAGCTAACAATTTTGATGGAATTCATGAGCTGGAAGTGTGTATACATATGGATAAAAATGTTGATAGTTGATGACAACACACAATGAAGCAATGGTTCTCAAACTTAAAGAGGTTTTGTCGTTATTTGTTAAAAATAAGGACATAGAAGATGTGTTGCATCGTAAAGGGGCACTAGAAGTTCTGTATGTATGTTATTCAATTATTTTTATGTGTTATCAATTTATTAAATTATCTTTGCCATTGTTATCATGTGTATAAAATTTAATGAACTTTCAGTATTTTTTAAATACTCCATTTTTAAATAAAAAGTATACCTCCATAATTACAACAAAACATTTATTGAGAAACAAAGTTCTGGAGTTCAGGAACAACCATTTGAGGGGAGTTAATGACAAAATTACGTAGTGATCTCTCCTACTGTTACATAAAATTCTGCTTTCAACATATCAACTGATTATTGATTTTAAAATCCCATCTTGAACAAGACTGAAATCTTACAAAAATAAAAATAATCACATGAGCTGAATTTATGTCAATCCAAGCAATAATGAGCTGACTTTATGACAATGTGTTGAACTTACAAGAATATAGTTAAATATACTCCATGGTTCCTGGCTGGCTATGATTGTTTTCTTGTACTTAAATATAAATACATTTTTCATACATAAGAAAAAAAACAACAAAAGGAACCACATATTTGATGGCATTCATGCAAGTTCATTGTAATGTTCGTCCAAACATTCTAATAACCAATAAGTTACAATTTGGTTTGAAAACTTTTTTTCAAATCATCTTCCCCGACAGAAATAAAAACTAAAAATTATCAATGTCGTAAGATTTGACCTCATATACTTAATGATTTTTTAGATTTGATAATGCACTGATAACACAAGTTAATTACGATTGATCTGAATCATTCCCATAATTAAATCAGGAGTTCTGTGAAGCTTGTCCGCATCATTATTTATTAGTTTTGAAGCCACGATTTGATCCGGTGCTAAATCCTGACTCAACAACAATCAGATCTTCTCTTCATACACTGAGTTTTGTCCCTTGCTGAATATATCCTACGGTACAATAAGAACCTTGGTGCAGAGTAAGTACATTTCTTTATATCATGTGTACATTTTTGGGTACATTTATTGGGTACATTTATATCTTTTTAAACCAAAGCTGATCAATAGAATGAAATGGTAGAGTGATTTTGAAAAAAAAAATTTCCCCATGTATTCTGCGCAGCGTTTGCTTGATTGTTGTAGGAATCCAAACAAACATCAACCGATTAACACTTTGTAAACTCTCAGTTCCCTGACTTGTAGGATGACTAGTCAATTTGTAACTTTCATACAATCGAGGAATATTGACTTTTGTACACTTTCTACATATGTGAACATTGATGATAAAAACTTATGTACAAACAAGTGTCATAAAACTGCATAAAGTATACATAATACATCAATGAAAATATGAGGATAAAACTGTATAAAGTATACATAATACATCAATGAAAATATGAGGATGAAATGAATGATTTTTTTTATTTTTTAAATTTGTTACAAGGGGAAACTTTAGTTCAGTGCTTAAATCAGACATTGTGTAGATTCATGTCAAATCAAAATTACCTGAATTAGTAAGTGTGTAAGAAATGCATTTGAATAAAGCTTAATATTTTGTACGGTAGCTGTATTACTGTGACTTTGACTTCAAGTTTGTCCCCTTAACTGACTCCCTTAAATATTGGCACAAACAATCTTGATAACAACCTCCACACAATGGATGGTCAGCTACAAAAAAGGAGACATTCTTTTATTTTAATGATCATCCTTACCGCAAAAAAAAAAAAAAAAAAAAAAAAAAAAAAAAAAAAAAAAAAAAAAAAAAAGGAAAAAAAAAAAAAAAAAAAAAAAAAAAAAAAAGAAAAGAAAAAAAAAAAAGAAAAGGCAGAGGGGCATAACCTGTACATTGAGATTAAGTAACTATGTTTTGACACTTCCAACTCTTGTAGGAAGCATTACTTTCAATGGACACAAAAATAAATCAGCATTTTAATGATAATCTGTGATTATTATTATGTATGTTTTGCAATAATCATTTAGGGTTCTGAATTGTAAAAGATAATTCTATATAATATAAAATATATAATTTCACATGCCATTTGTTAACGTCTTGATAACACAATTTTAACACAAGTTACAATTTTTCTGCCTTTCCATATTTTAGTACACCGGTACTTATACTTATTTCCAAATTTAAAACTATTTATGTAAAAAAAATTATTTTTTTAAAAAGTATGTACAGTGTTGCAAGAACACATGTTTTGTGTGAGAGAGCTAGTAGTAGTAGGAAGCCAATGAATTAAAATTGTACTGTGTGTAAGAGTCGCTTATTGAAATCAAGAAACAATCACTTAAGTACAAGGGAAAAAAGCAGGCCTGGCACTACAGTTCCGTTAGTACAACTTACAAAGGTTACAATATACAGCAGCAAAACTTGGATCTACATGAACAGACAGAAGACTACCACTCAGCCAAGTGGAGGAGAAACATTAAGCAACAAATCAAAAAAAGAAACAGACAACACTCTTACAAAAAAAATCATCATAAGATAAGTAATCTGCTGTAGTAAATGCGACTGGCCTTAATGATTAATGGTTGACAAGAACAATTACCAGTAACTAAACTATTTTCAGCTTCATACAAACACTAAAACTTTTCGTTAAACATGTCTTTAAAGGTCCTGGGCGATTAGTGGTCAACTGACAAGTTGATCTCATTATAACAATATATATTCAAATGCATACAACAAATACTATACATATCTCTTGAACATTTATTAACTGATGAAGTTCTCATTTGCGAGAATTTCATTCTAAAAATAGAGCCAATAAATGTAAGTTTGAAAAGTGAAGCTTGATTATTTATTATCAAAAAATGTTTAAACCTAACAATAGGCTCAATGTACTCAACTTAACTCAATTTTCTTAAGACTTTAACTAGACAGAATGTATTCAGACTAGATGACCATTTACATCTTGAAGTGATAATTTGCTAACAACACAAAACCTAATTTCTAAATGTGTGTTTTAAAATTAGGTTGAATCCTTCTACTGAGACATTTTCATATCTACATTCCCTTGCGACAGCATTTAAAATTGTATGAGCACCTTTATGAGAGATAAATTAAAAGTTTATCGGTGATCATTACAAAAAATAGTTTTCAGTTATTGTGTCATGAATGATCCAATTTTTTTTGAGCTTGGGGCCTTACCCTACTAATATACCACTAAAGGTAATGTATTACCACTAAAGGTAAGTATCAGTTTTTGTTGTTGATATAGATAACTTTAAGTTGGTAAAGATTTTAAACCACATTAGGACAAAAATATTTTTAATACAGTGTTTAAATAATAAAATTAGATCTAGCTTGCAAAACAAGAAAAATAATAATAATAATTTTTAAAAATGGATCAAAATATTTTATTTGCTGCTTCAGACATTTGCAATATGTCTGGCATGTATTTGGTGAGTGGCTAATTGCTCAGCCTTGATAATAAAATGTATACAAATCTAAAAATAAATACAATGACCCAAGTTGCTGCAGTAAAGCCCTACTAAGCCCAACCAGAAGTACATTGGAATTGTTAAATTCTTAATAACTATTCCTAGAGAGGAAAATATACATTTCTTGAACATTTGATGCTATGTATTAAGTTAGGTTTGTAACCGTTATTAACAGTTGTACACTTCAAACATTATATAGATTTTGAAAAGCATGTGACTTTTGTTCAAAGTCTGTACTTAGAAATTGAAAAAAAAAACAACACTATGTGTCCCTTTTTTTTCCTAGTGTTTTTAAATGAGATATGCAATAAAAATGTCTGTGGTTTATATGAACTGCAAAAAAGTTCCTTATCTCTGCCATTCTCTAATCATTTTAACTGCTGTCTCCATTCTGAAAGGTTGCTGAACAATTAATTACATCTTTTCTCAACAAAAAAATGCACAATTAGTTTACTGTTTACAAAGATTCTGATTAATGTTCCTTTTTTTAATCTTTTCAGTAAATTTCTCTACTCATTCCAAGACAATTATTTATTTTGAAAATCTTCAACAAAACCATCACATGGTGATTTTAAAAAAAATAATGATATAAATTTGGTCTGTCATTAGACCATACATTAATTGTAACAAATCCATATTCAGCTCATATGGACAGTTTGTGGAAATACGAATTGGGCCAAAAATTAAACAACATATTTTGATAAATATTCTTGCAAAATTAAATTCTGACACTATTTATTTACAAGACTTGAAATATAATGCACACCACAAAAAAAAATCTTGATTGCACTAAGTATTGTATCTTTTCTATTTGCAGCTGGGTATGTAAAAAAAAACAAAAACAAAATTTGTACAGTATTACATTAGTAGAAACAGAGTTGAAAAAAAACCTTAATCTAATCCAGCTGGTTTCATTATCATACTCCATGTTCAGCTTTAGTTAGATTTCCCCTGAAAATTCTAGCATTTAGATATCTTTAAGATGATGATTCATCATCAACAGACACCCGACGTTTAAGTTCTAACAAAAGTGATGCTTGAACTCCTTCAGCTTGTAACTGTAAAGGTTGACCAGTAGGGTGCCGTGCATGCTGGGCTCGTACAGGCATCGAGCCTCCATGCTGAGGGGGTCGGCTGTAGATCCTCTCAATTTCCTGTAGCTCTTCAACAGTGGGTGGTAATGGGAAGTCCTCCTCTAATGTTCCAGCTGGAATTCGCTGCTGCTGTTGTTGCTGTTGGAGGTGGTGGATGTGACTCTGTTGCTGTAATCGTTGTATCTGCTGCTGGTTAAGACTGGTGTATTGATGTATTTGGTGATTAGAATGGTGTCCAGCCTGGTGATGTCCTGGGTAAGGGTGATGTCCAGCATGCAATGGTCCTTGGTTGGAAGGTTGTCCTCTATGTGGATGTCCTTGATTGGAGGGATGTCCCTGTGGATGTCCTTGATTGGAAGGGTGCCCTCTATGTGGATCTCCTTGATTGGAGTAGTGTCCACTATTTGGATGAAATTGGTTTTGTTGATGACCCAAGTGTCCACTCTGTAAAGGTCCCTGATTATTGTGAAGTCCTCCATGCGAAGGTCCTGGATTTGAATAATGTCCACCTTGTGGAGGTGCCTGATTTGGTGGAAGTGGGCGAGCTGTGCTGTACACAGCCTCATGAGCACCCCCTTGACTATACTGCTGCTGGTGCCATGCAGTGGCCGAAGGGGGTAGAGGAACACCAGTAACAGAAGGCGGCGGAGGAACGCCGACCGAAGGAGCCGGCGGGATGACCGCCCCCTGGGGTAAAGATTTATTTGGTTTCTGTTTAACGGCTGGAGGAGGCGGTTTGTAGATACCATCGACGCCATCTTGTCCATCTGAAGGCGGATTGTGGGACGCAAACTTGGCATTCAAACTTTGAATTACACTTGCTGTGGACGCTTGGCCTCGAGGCTGCATGTATGGATTTACTCCATCTAATCCAGAGTGAAACTGGACATGGTCAGGATTCTCTGGGCTATGGTGGGCAGTTTTGTGGATGGTTTGCTGTACCAGCTGAAGTTCAGCGTACGTGCCGTCATTCTCGGCCGCCCTGCTCGAGTTGTCAGTAGAAATCTGCTTCAATAGAGGTGCCCTCATCTTCTGCACATGTGCTGGTGCTGTCCCGGCCACAGAGGATGTTCGTCTGATGGGTGGCGGAGGCTTCTGTGGATTGAGGATTGTCCTGGTTTGACTTGAGTTGGGGATTCCTGTAAAAATAAGATGATCCTAGTCTTTTAAAATTGCTTTATGGAAAGCCACAAAAATCTGTCAATGCCAAACAAACATTTTACAACACCTTTACTACATGCAGTGTAAGTAGACTAGATAGGTTCACAAGCCGTTCAAAGATGAACTTTCTTCAAGGCCTTCAAGTTTTTAAGAGATGACACTATCATGTCGTTTAGTAAACACTTCATAAAAGGTTTGAACTTCAAAGTTTGCAATTTAAGATTTTAGCCTGTCTTTTTAAATTAGTTTTATATCTTGAAAATGAAAAGTAGAAATTTTCAAAGAAACAAAGCTTTGTTTTAATATTATCACTAGAGAAATAATTATATATTTTCTTATATGTATTAGTGTCATGCTCTATTATGTAACGTTAGGCATTGTATGGGAAGAAATCTTTTTAAAGTCAAAGAAATGTTTATTCACTCATTGACTACAGGTGGCCATTTAAGCTTTTAACTTTAGCTAAAATTTGACAAATTTAAAAAATAAAAAAATGAGAAAAAAGGAAAAGAAACTGACATGCACCTCAAAATAAGAACCTGGTTCATCAAAGTACATATTTATTTTATTGCCAATGAATTTAACACAATTCTTGTTTAGACTTAGGGAAATTTTTGAAACTAATAAGAGTTAACAGTTATAATTCATTAAATAATTTTCAGATTTCAAGCACCAATATAAAGCATCATTCAGTGCACAAGACAGAAAAAGTGGTGACATTATTTCATGGCCCAAATATGCACACAAACCTACTGTAAGAGTGACTAATATTTTGACTATATATCATCTGGGTCACAAACCTGCTGTCGATGCAGGTCGCTGGGGCTGACCACCAGTAACGGCAATACGATAGGCAGCATTGAAATCTCCTGTACGGGGCATTGTCATATACTTTTCAGGCTCAAATGTGTCCTCTACAAAAGTAACATCTGCAATAGCACACAGCAAGACAAACATGCTGATAAACAGGCATCAATGTGTAGACAACATCAAGCATTGTGGAGAGTCAGGTACTGGCAATATCATTTTTTTTTAAAAACTGTCACTAAAAGCTACATGTCAATGTCGGTTGCAATAAATGTTATTATTAACTAAACTCACTCAGAAATAATGTGTGCACATCTCAATAGACTAAACAAAATGTTTGTTTTTATCTGAGAGAGACAATAGCAACAGTGCTTTAGACTTAGGATTACATCATTTTAAAGTTTTCTTTTCCTTACTTTATTTACAGAAATTAAAATTGGATGCAATTTATTACATTTGAGGATTGAACAGAAGAGGATGCACTGTTTGAATTGTTTGAATTAAATCAATTTATTACATTTGAGGATTTAACAGAAGAGGACGCACTGTTTGAATTGTTTGGATTAAATCAATTTATTACATTTGAGGATTTAACAGAAGAGGATGCACTGTTTGAATTGTTTGAATTAAATCAATTTATTACATTTGACGATTTAACAGAAGAGGACGCACTGTTTGAATTGTTTGAATTAAATCAATTTATTACAGTTGAGGATTGAACAGAAGAGGACGCACTGTTTGAATTGTTTGGATTAAATCAATTTATTACAGTTGAGGATTGAACAGAAGAGGACGCACTGTTTGAATTGTTTGAATTAAATCAATTTATTACAGTTGAGGATTGAACAGAAGAGGACGCACTGTTTGAATTTTTTGAATTAAATCAATTTATTACATTTGAGGATTGAACAGAAGAGGACGCACTGTTTGAATTAAATCAATTTATTACAGTTGAGGATTTAACAGAAGAGGACGCACTGTTTGAATTGTTTGGATTAAATCAATTTATTACATTTGAGGATTGAACAGAAGAGGACGCACTGTTTGAATTGTTTGGATTAAATTTATACCCTCTTACTGAGAGAAAAAAAAAGTCCTCCTGAAAAAGGTGTCTTATCAGATGGGACACAAACATGTCAACAGGAGACAGAGACAGGCTCAAAGGTGTCTTATCAGATGGGACACAAACATGTCAACAGGAGACAGAGACAGGCTCAAAGGTGTCTTATCAAATGGGACACAAACATGTCAACAGGAGATAGACAGGCTGCATTTGGCATCAAGCCCCCTAAGAACATCTAAGTGCACACATGCCTTGTGTTAAAATGATACTCATGCAGAAAGACAAGATCTCAAAAGCTGAGCAAACACCTGTGATGGCTTTTAAAATGTAATCTAATTTAAACAATGACTTGTTTCATTCATAGTTCCTTACAATTTTTTATTTTTATTTTAACAAATGGAAATTAATTTTTAAATTGGTAACTTCAAAAGACAATTAGGACTATGGCAGATATTACAGTGCTGAAAAGAGCAGGTGCATGTAAAGAGCAGCTTTGCGTACTAATTATGGGATTATAATGCAGCATGGCATGCAAACTGATAGCATGATGAAGGGACACTAACTGATTTTGACATGAACAAAATAAAATGTGACATCATAAAAGAAGCTCCTTACAAAATTATTGTGAAAAAAAGTGATGACCACTATTAAATGCGGGAACAGTGACCAATGTCTAGAAATAAATTGTGGAGTAAGTGATAATTCACTATAAAAAAAAAATTAAAACGAAAAATAACCCAAGATTGACATTTATTTAAAGATATTCTCACCATCTAACTCTTCGTAAAGATCATTTTCTTCCATTTCCTCAATAATTTCTTGATTACCTAAGTAAAAGATTTTAATCAGTTCATTCAATGTTATATTCCCTAGTGCATGGAAGGAAAGAACCATTCCAGGATTCCTGTAAGTTGTACAAGTTACTTATGATGTATCAGAGTTTGGTAACATATGTTTTATAGGAAGGACTTGCACAATGAGGGGCAGCAACAGAGAAATACTTTACCCTGTGCCCCACTGGGGACGCTTCAGCATGATGATAAATCATAGAGGCAGTGATATCCCTAAGTCTAAAGAATAACTTCAAGTAGCCTCCTGTTGTGTATGTTACTTTTCTATGTCCAGCATTTAAATGACACAGGCAAATTTCCATTGTCTTATCTAAGAAAGCTTTGTTGATACAGAGCAAGTTCACAGGAATAATAAATAAGTAGTGATTTAAAAAAAAAATAATAATTTATAATTTCTTAAATTAAATATTAAAATGTCCATGTATTGCCTATCTCAGTGTTCCCATGAAATGGTAAATATTTTACATACAAAACATCACACTGTTTAAACAGAACAGGGGTTAAAGATTACTTGTAGTGCATAAACATTTCACAGACACATTAATAGAGCTGACAAGGATTAAAGATTTAAACAGGACCCACCTGCTGATGGAATAGTGTCTTCTGATGTGGCCGGGGTGCTGTCCATTGTTCCATATCCAGATGAACAATGCAGGGAGGTTTTACTGGTGTAACTCTCTGTGTCGTAAGCTGCTGCTTCTGGCGGACCAGCTTCTGTTGTGCTGTAAGAGTCATTGTCATATGCTGAGGTCAAGGCCGCTGTACTTGCTTCCAGCTCACGGATAGCTTTCGCTAGTTCCAAGCTGGTATTTTGCTGTATCTGAGTAGTTGAGGGGAAAAAAATCAATAATAAAACACTGACATGTCACTCAGTGAGAATAAAAGTTTTAAAAATTAAAAATAATGGAATTTTAGCCGGGGATGAGAAAGAGCAGATGAGAAGTTGATCATAAAAGCTGGCTGTTTGTGTTTCTTCACTAGAAGATAATGTAATGAAATGTCTAAAAAGAATACAAAACTTTTAACCAAACGGCATACTTAAAATATACATACTGCATACTAACAATTCATAGAAATAATCACAGAAAGACTTTTAAAATAATACTACAAAAAAATTTAACTTAAAATAAAAATCACTAAATAAAAAAACAGAAAACGCTTAAATTTTTACAAAGAAAATTTTTTTCCTGACTAGCCAATAAGAAGCATTTCAAGCATAAATGAACATAAATTTATTTATGCTCTTCACCACAACAGAAAAATTTGACAACATCGACCTAGATAGAGATCACAACACACAAGTACACATTGGAACTAGGAAACAATTTCTTAGATAGAGATTGGCTAAAACCACACTAAAAAAAACAACACTTGACCAATACAGGATCATAATAATTGAGTAAAAGAAAAGCTATCAGTTATTACTCACTTGTGCCCTTGTCATCAATCACGTAATCACTTTGAAGTTTATATTTGTTTTGATTCTTCTGGTTATTAAATATATATCTAAGCAATTAATTTAATTTGAGCCCCTGTTAATCATACACAAGTTTCTTTATGGCCTATTCATACACAAGTTTCTTTATGGCCTATTCATACACAAGTTTCTTTATGGCATATTTCCTACAGAACTCTTGGTATTTAAAAAAATGTCTTCATACTATAAACAAAGAACCTCAAAGCCTTTCAAACAGTTTTTATCAAATGAAAAGAAGACAACAAATACTCTTAAAGTCACTGAATAAACACTAGGAATTACTACTAGTCCAATTTTAAAACTTTTAACATATTTTTTTTTTTTTAATCGTTGTTTCAAAAAAAAAATTATTCTTCCTGATGTGACATCATCCTTTATCATTAGTTCCAAGAGATCATCATTTATGATTAGTTCCAACATATCTTATTAGGAACTGCTTGAAATGTGTTAACACAGGATTAAATTTACTTGTCGTCAAGGGGAGACACAGCAGGTATATTTGGGAATGCTTTCATTTCTTGCATGCAAATTGCTTTGAATTTTTAAAAATTGATGCCTTGTTCAAAATTTAAGTTTGGAAACCCATGTTTATGCAAGACTTCACAACAAAATTTCCACACTGATGTCAGTTTACTCTCATTCAGGAATAATACTAATAAAAAGCACAAGAACGTTACCACAAAAAACCCTATCCATGAAGTAGGTAGTATGAGATTTAGGAATGTCATGCTTCAAGGTTTCTTAGTTTCTCACGAATATTTAAGTTTTAACAACCGAGTTGAGCCAATCAAATTTATAAGACTAAAATTCAACATGTCAAGAAATGATCTTTGTATTAGTAAACAAAAATAGCATGCCTTTCAGTGTATGCAAGTGATGTTAAATAAACTTCTGTTCATGCCTGCATGACTAAGACTAGCATACAGTGACATTCCATAAAATATCTTATACACTCATGATACAAGAAGCATGCTGCAAGCATCAGAGATATGTTATAAAAATATATTTAGGAGTACAACCAAAACTAATATCCAGGATTGGCTTATAGGTGACGCGATTTTTGTTCAGATGTTTTTATCATGAGTGGGGACTGGGCATATCTTGATACTGTTTGATTAAAATTTGAAACTAATGAGAGAGAAGGTGTGTAAGGAGAATTTATGAAATGAAATGATTATGTAATGTTCATCCGCAGCTGCATTATAGGATGTAATGATGGTGTAATGAGAGGCTATGATTGGATGGCATTCTTGCCTTAGGTCGGTGAACTTCAAGGAAAGGGTCGGCAGCACTAACATCTGGCTCAATGTCGCCATCGTCGTGGTCGACAGAGGAGCGTGGCGTAATTTCTTCTTTGGCATCTGCAGTTGGGTCAATGTCAACGTTTAGTCCAGCAGTGCACATATCCATCTGTTCCATAGCCTGCTCCAGGTCTAGCAAGCGCTGTGTCTGACTGCTCACTTTAATAAAATTCTCACCCTAAGCAAGCAAGCATAATAGAGTCACAAGTGAAACAAACGAACAAAAAAATGGCTTATTCAAGAAAGCAGTTAAGTCATTGACAGCGCATGTATCAACAAGCACATTAGATAACAAGCATATTAGATGAGAAAATAAAGAAAAATTAGAAATGAATGGAAATGCTGTTGTTCTTTTCTGAGAAATATAGGAGTTTAACTGACATGAGGAAATGGTTAATTTTTAACTTTAAACTCTTTTTGATAAAAATTGCAGAAGATACTGAAAGAAGAATTCCTGTGATTCACTGAGAGAATTGTTTAGAAAATCAAATTTATAAAGAAAATATTTGCACAAAATTGTGTTAATCAAAAGGTTAGATGATAAATTTAAAACTCTTTGAGTAAAACTGTTAATAAACAAAGTGCAACTACATATATGCAATAAAAAAAAAAGGATCCTTGAGTGAACCATTTGTGAACACTCTGTGTGATTGAAATAGCTGTAGAGATGTATGTGTTAGTTTCACCACTGCAGACCTGTTTACCCTCGCACTCCTAAAATCGTACAATATCGTCTCAAAATTGTACCATACAGTATCTTAATAGTAAATAAATAAACATACAGTATAAATAATTTATACAATAACTACTCGCATCGCATGTCTAGTGGAATCAAGTTAAGCTAGCCTAAAAAAAGGTAACTGAACGGTAAAAAGTAGATGACTGACATTAACTGCAAATTGCTGTCACTTTATTTTTACAGACGTGTTTCTACTATAGATTCAATATTTAGGTGAACGGTCACCCGTAAGAAATAATATGTCACAAAACTACATCATACAGCAAAAAAACACAAGCAGATGCAATCTATACAGAATGTAAGCACAAAAAGACTCAAATTTTGTTGCAAGCTTACTTTTTTGATGACCTCCCCCTACTGTCTTGCATACGTTGCAATAAGCTCTCGAAAAAAAATCCAACAATCTTTATATATTTATGTTACAGTAAGGAAAATGCGACATGGGTTTTCACCACTGCAATTCAGCGAGCCCAGTGGTTCCCATAATATATGCTGCATTGCCCTGGGTAATCTTTGTCCTCGGGCAGGGCCACAAGAATGGGGCGAAGAGAAAAAAAGCCTTTAGAAAGGACCATCGATTGTGAATTAAACCATTTACTTAGTCAAAGAGAAAGGGTGCAAGGAATTGTCCTTTTACTGGTCCGCCTGGGTGGGTGGGGTACACATTTTTCTATAAGGGTTGCTGTGGCTTCCTCGCAGGGGCATTACGAAATATTACAAAAGTTTCATAAATTTATTTCCACTTTAAATTTTAATCCATTGTCACAACTTTGGGTCGTGGTGTAAAGTGTAAACAGTAACCCACTTGAGTATCTACAGTTTGCAGTGACTAGATGACGCTTAGTCACCTACATACATGGCATAGTTATTTTTCCCCAACCCTTTATATTATTTTGTTTCATACATGTCATAGTTATTTTTCCCCAACCCTTTATATTATTTTGTTTCATACATGTCATAGTTATTTTTCCCCAACCCTTTATATTATTTTGTTTCATACATGTCATAGTTATTTTTCCCCAACCCTTTATATTATTTTGTTTATGTATTCCTTATTTGGAAGTGTACTCATTAGAATTTCAATCAGGGAGCCTGGTGAAAAACATAAATTTAGCATGGACGCCGGGAAACAAGAATTTTAGAACCACTGGCATCACCCAACAAAATATACGTCACCTGCATGATCCCACATGGTGGACTAAATAAATATTACTGTAATGTCTCTACTACTGAGTACTATCTGAGAATAGCTAGCGAGTTCATTTTTTAAATTACAGAGCATCATCACAATTCCTATTTAACATTGGGTGATATTTTACAGCATTCACAGTAATCGAGATATAATTATGCTATTTTTGAACTTTTGGGATGAATATTGTAGAATAATTGAATAACACATGAACTTTCTTGTGAGATCCCCCCCCCCCCAACCCCTTTATTTTTCGCTTACTATCATTAGAAAATTGTGGCTGTGTTAATTTGATAGACTTAAATATTTAACCCCCCCCTAACTTTTTTAAACAAAAAATCTCCTAAATCAACGCCACTCCATTTCGCTCTCAGGGCTAACGTATCATAATTATAGATGGTCCCCAACCAATTTAATTTCTCGAACCATTCACTGCTGGATGTAGAATGCAAATTAAAACCAACAATCGAAAATATACTTTGTACGCTATGTATTTTCAACCCGAACTCTTAAAATCGTAGTTCTGGCAGGCTTGGGCGTACATATAAAATGGTCAAAAGGGTAGAGACTACAATTAGGTTAGCAAAAAAGGAAATGAGTAAAAGACTTCTCAAAACCCTACATTGGTAAGCCAAAATCATAAGAGTAAACAGGTCTGAATATACTAAATAAACAAAACTAAGGTACCAAAAACCAAAAGGATTGCCGATTCCATTAATGGTAACATTAAAATCCCGTAATGTGCACATCAATCTGTGTAGCTAAATTGGAATGCCAGAGCTTTATGGGAAATGGGACATCCATAAATAACATAACCGGTATGCAAAATAAAAAAATATTCATACCCCTCCCCCAGCCACACCTTGTCAGCCTAAAGCGCAAAGGGCTATCCAAATACTACGTACACGCTGAGGATGCGTATTATACAGCTTTGATGGGATTGAGCGGATCACTAGAATTCACCTAAATTTATGCATAAAGTATACAATAATTATCCTGACAGTCTCTTATAGAGCAACTGAAAATCTGTGAAATCCATGAATTGTAATATTAGGCCTTTTAATATTATTAAGGCTATTAAAATATTAACACGTTTCGCAGTTATCGTATACTCATATACTAATGCTTTGTGTTTTCATAAAGAGATCATTACAGTAGTAATATTTAACTCTAGAATAAATTACCCGATGTTATCAGGATAATAATGGTAGGTCCATTGCGATCATTTCTACCTGCTTTTGCAAAAACTCATTACAATTCCTAACTTTAAAAGTAAGTATCTATGTAATGATATTTACTTTTCTAACATCATTAAGTTTTGAGAAATATTTATCTGCTATATATTAAATGCCTACTCTACTCTCTTTCATGCTCCTATACTACTTTTTTCCCATCTAAACATGACTTTAAATTACCCAATCTAAATTATCCCTAATTATATCACTTTTGTCACTAAAGAAATTAATTGAGGGACGATTTCTAAGCTAGAGATATACTTTAGATTTAAACCTTTTCATTCCCTTGATTTACAACCTTTTTTCTCTAAAAATTGTTAAAAAACCTAATAATATGACAAATATATATTTTATTTTTAAGGAATTTGATATATTGATATCTTCATCAAAAAATACCTTTTTGCCTTGTTCTTTTTAAAATTATACATTATCAGAAAATCGTAAAACAAAGAATTCTTATATCTAAAGAAGATTCTGGCAACCATTTTTCACGTCTATAACAGACTTGAGTGTCTTTTTTTAAATTTAAATTGTTAATCTCGTCACTTAACTTTTCGCAAAGTAAAAACAAAAAATTTTTAAATTTTTTTTTCAAAATTAATTTTTCAAGTGTTTAAAATGATTGGGTTTTTATATTCATGGGTATACTTATATAAATGTAATCACGATTTGTTAATACCATTGATTTTCTTAATTGGTAAACATGTCTATTTGTAAAAAGAGAATGTAACATCTCTTTTTTCACAAACGTAATACCATAGGATTTAAATATATTGTCATCCACGTAAAAATGTACACATCCTATTTCCTATCTCCGATATGTATGTACCAAAGAAGGTTAATTATTTATCAAATTCATTCCTGTATTTTGAGACATATCTTGTGCTGCCTGGGGCAAGGTGACAAACCCCCTCCCCAATACCCAGATTTAAATAAAATTAATAAAATCTTCCACCAGATTCTAGTCCCTTCCATACCTAAACTAACATATTTTTCACTTCATATGTTTTGTTCTTATTTGGATGAGTTATAAGTGGATTAGTGAATGCAATTTGGCAATGGAGTTTTGCTGTACTGATTGACTTAAACGGAATTTTCTTATTAGAAGTATATTTAAAGATTAAGTTTTCATTACATTATAAATTTAATAAAAGCATATTTTTGGATATAAAAAAAGTGAAAACTTATTAAATGTTAACAATACAAAGCTAAAAACTTTGTGTTTTATTAACAATTTAAAGAGCAATCAGTTATATTTATTAATTTTCCTTAAAAGAAGGGGGAAATGCATCATCAGTTTTCTAACCCGCGGTTATTAAATCAAAGAAACTGAAGAGTTTTAGCTAACATAGGGATTCCTGCTATGACATCATTTGCTGTTTGTTTAGAACAAATTAATTTTAATTTTATTTCTAATATTAATAACGCACTAAAATACGCACTAAAAACAACTGATGTTTGGGTTTTCCCGATAAATGTGATTACAATTTATTTCTTAGATATAATTTTTTAATAAAATTTTTTTCTTCATAATTTTAAATTCGGATAAAATGCTGAAAATAGTTCCTTAATTGTCACTTTAAATGTATTTGTAATTTATAATAATAATACTTAAACTTTTACTAAAAGAAAAGCGTATTTATGTTATTTTTTGCGCATTTGAATTTATTCCATTTCAGTAAATTAAAATAATCAGAACGCATTTAAATCTTTTTGGTTCTTTGGCATTATGTCAGCATAGCTGATTCTTATATATATATGACATTGATAACACACTGTAGTCCACTAATACGTCTTTCTGTGCTGGTGACATAATTATTTTGCTCAGAAGAACCAACCTTCCCCTACCCTAATTAATGGGGAAAAAAAATTGTGCCGTCGCCTATTCAATAGGCCCTTGATTATTTTTTCCAACATATAACATAAATACCGCAAGCTGTAAAAAAGAAGTGTGGTGGGAAGTAGTGATACCAAACTGTTGTATTAAAATCAGTAAGAGGATAGAGCTGCTTTGCGAGTTCTAAAAATATTTTTAAAAAGCTGCTACCTAGATCATAAAAAATATGTCCAAATTCACCATTCCAGTGCAGAAAAGTTGGATAACGTATCTTATTTTTTAAAAAACATCTCTAGTTTGCTCTGTTTTCACAATCGCCAGGGTTCAGACGAAATAAATAATTATATAACAAAAATACGTCACATGCTTGGTAGCAGTCAAAGGGGACGGTGAGTGAAGTTGTCGCTAGGGCGACTAGTCAAAATATAACTGGTGACGCAGCTAGTTAGTTCACTGTCACACACAACACAATAATATGACAATCATCACCACCATCAATATGATAAGCTGCAGTGATATTTTTATAGCATTTGACACTCCCACCAATGCCCCCACCAATGCATCTCGTATGCCACAAATCGCCTTAATCAACAACCCCCACCTCCCCTCTCAGTGCGTGCATAATAAAATGAAGGAGGGTCCCAACTTTTAAAAAAAATTACAACCAATAGTTTTTCTTGGTCCATTCACTGCTAGATCTTTATTAGAAATGTCAATAACTGAAAAAAATTTTTACAGGAAATTTTACCAGAATATTTTTTTTACCGGGTCTCTGAAAATCGGGTCTCAGCATACAATCATAAAAAGTAAACAGGTCTGCCTTTGTGATCAATTTGCTTTAACAACAAGAAGTTGTATTTATAAATAAACATAAAAACTATCTATAAATAAACATAAAAAATATCAAACTTGCAAGGAAATATCCCAATTAGCCACTTTTTTTTTTCTCTCCCCAGAGCAATATCTTTAACCCCCCCCCCCCCCCAACTGGCATGACTGAGTTAGTACATGTGCAATGATAGACTAATACAACAGTTTAGCAGTGTAGCAGACCATTTAATGTGTGGCAAAGTTGGTGTAATGTTGACAAAACATGACTTTAAACTGAGATGAGGCACTAGATTGAATAGACAACTGATTTATTTAGATCTTAACATTAGTATGTTGCCTGACTAATAATAATAATAGAAAATGCTGTTTGTACAAGATGCTCCAAAGTAGGGTAATGCCCAGAACATCCTAATAGGCATCAAAGGTTCAGTGAATGCTCACAATTGATTTCAACAAATGATGTTAAACATTTTTTGAATTAGTTGATGAAGAAACCTTCTTTTTTTTCTTCATAAAAACCAAAATAACCAAAATAATTGGTTAAGTTAGTACATAAAAATGTGGGTGGTAATCTCTCAAAGAATACGTCAAATGCAGCAATCCATTTCTAACTCAATTAATTCATTCCAGAAATCCTGCAAACACACTAGATTTAAATCATAATAGAACAAGAGCACCCATTACTTGATATTATCCCATTAAAAATAAAATTCATCAGCAGGTCACAGGGAAAGAATGCTGATGGAAATAAATATGTAAACAACAATGATGCCTGTTCAATAGTTAACAGTAAGGGGAAACATAGGGTAACATCATTACAACCCCGTGAGAGTAGATATTAAACATCAATCAAGTGACATTACGGTTAGGGTTGTAAATATTAAACTTAAATGAGTCTTGAGTCTTACCTGCGTCTGTGATGTGGTTGGTGTTGTGGGTTCCCCGTCGTCGGGTGACAACTCAGACTGGGCATCCCCCAACTCCGACATGTTGGCATAAATTGGTTGTGCAACTACAAAACAGATACGAAAATTTGTTTTCAAAATTCTTTGCTGCTGTCAAGCTGTATTCCCCCAACATAAAAAATACAATTTGATTAATTTTTTTAACATTAACAAAGGAATAAGCTTTTGGTAACACTTCACATCTGAGATTGTTTCGGTTCAACAAATACAGTTGTCCATTGCCATATCGTGTTTCAATAATCACCGATTTTTTTTTTTTTACTAGAATATAAGGTACATCTAATTTTTATCACAGATTTATATAGAATTTTATGTTGTTAAAATTTCATAGCTTTAAGAGTGTATAAAGTTTTTACGACCATAGGAAGTGTTTAAAAGAGTATGGGAAAGTTTAATAAGTGTGGTGTAAGGTTTTAGATGTATAAGAGCATAGGAAGTGTTTATAAGAGTGTGGGAAAGGTTAATAAAGAGTGTGGTGAAAGGTTTATAAGAGTGTGGGGAGGGTTTATAAAGTATTTATAAATAATAAATTAAATATAAGGTCACTACTTCAGAGGATTTTCACCTATCACAGGAGCTTCTGGAACCTAATCCCCGGGATAAACGAGGGACCACTGTACTTTAAATGTCTTGTGTTTCAATTGTTAAATATCTGGGTTAAAATATCTATTTATGTGCTGAAGATAAATATGTACAATGCAATAAAAAAAAACCAGTTCCATTTATTGGATCAATAAAGAATCTTATCTTAATTCTATGCCATACAGCACTCAACAACATTTACCTGGGGGTAACATGGGGGGAGCAACAGCAACCCCCTTAGGTTTAGGGCAGTGTGGTGGTAGCACTGGCTGTAGTTTGCTGATGGTGGCCGACGGCCGTTTGTGACCAGCAATTTTCTGACTAGTGGATCTGCTGGGTTTAGAAGAAACTTCCATGTCTTCTTGCGGTGGCTCAAACATATCAAGCTTAAGGGCTGGTAAAAAAAAATACAACAGGTTAACATTTCCTCCATGACATTCAGTATATATTATTGAAAAAGTATTTTAAAAATATGCGTAAGTTAATGTTTAAAAATAATAATCAGTCATGTGTGGCCTACGAGAAGTTGAAATTTAAGAGAAATACATTCAATCGATAACTTCATAAGATTTAAAAGATACAGAGAACAAAATTTTAAAATAAAACTTGATTGCGATGAGTCAGGTTATTTCAGGGCACTCACACTTTTCCATGACAAACTTTATTTCTTTTTTTGCTGGTGACCAAAGTAGGGCATTTCATTCCTTGAGATATTTTAATTCGAAGCTTACCAGTAATATAGTCAGTCAATGTGTGTTGAAAGAGATTTTTAAAAAATAATTTTGTTTCATTGAACTTGAGATATTTATAAATTAATAGTAAAGCTACAACAGGGATATATTTTATGACCTCATGGTGAAGTCATGGCTCACTCATTTAGTCATTAGCATAGCATCAAATTTTGAGACTTTCCTATTAGACTAACTGGGAAAGGTAAGGGATATTAATTTATGATTAAATAAATGCGTAATGTTAGTGTCAGTATCCAATTGAAAGTAATATGACATTATTTTAATTTTGCAAGTATGCATAATTAAGAATAATTTTTCATTGTCAAAACTAACAATTATCTTGCTAAATTTAATTTATTTGGTTTTTTAAAGTGTTGTTGGAGATTTCAAAGCCATTATTACGGGGTCTACTGTGTCCTTTCTCATATGTGGAGCTGATGGTATGTGGACGGGCGGGGTCAATTTTAGGTGCTCCAGGTAGATTAGGCCAGTTGTTCCAGGTAGAGCTGGCACTAGGTGTGTTGTCTGAAGGCGTAGTAGGAGTCGAGTCACAGTCTCCATCACCCTCAGGGTCCAGGCCACCAGATGCCTACGAGTTGAATGTTGAAATGGAAATTTAAACATGCTTAAACATTTGATGAGGAAACAGATCACAGGTACCTACATTACCTACAGTTTATTTTATATGGAATATGGAAATAAACTAGTCTTTGTCTTATGTATATATAAGACCAAGACTAGTTTATTTCCATATTACCTACAAGTTAAAGATCAGTGTCTTGTCAAATTCACACAGTTTCAGTATTCAAATTACAATTCTTATGGACAGTATGAACAATAAATTCTGGATTGTTTTGTGAGTGATGTGATTTAGTTAGATACATCTTTGTAAGATGTCCAACAATCTCCTAGAACATATCAGAAAATTAACTATGAAAGAAAACCTGATACACAATAGATAGATCTTTGTAAGATGTCTAAAAATCTCCTAGAACATATCAGAGAATTAACTATGAAAGAAAGCCTGATACACAATAGATAGATCTTTGTAAGATATCTAACATCTCCTAGAACATATCTCATCAGGGTATAAACTAAGAAAGAAAGCCAGATAGACAATAGATACATCTTTGTAAGATGTCTAACATCTCCTAGAACTTATCAGGGTATAAACTATGAAAGAAAGCTTGATATACAATAGTTGGATTATGATCAGGAGAAAAAGTCTATACATAATCAAATATGACAAGACAAAAATAAAATCAGAGGAACCATGTAGAAAAGGTTCTGTATGAAACAGATCAATTATTATTTAAATTTGGAACATGTGTAAATCCTAAAATGCTTACTATAGATGATTTAAGATACAATTCATTAAGCATTACAGAAGGAATTAATCATTTCCATAAATGGGGTTAAAAAAATTTAAACAGATTTAGTTACAAGAGAATATTTTAGTTTCAGACTCGGAAATTTATTGTTATTAAAAGGGCACAGGAGATAGAAATTTATTACTAATTAATCAGAATTTTCTGACAGCCATTGAGGATAAAAAGGGTAAAAAAAAAATAGAACAGCTTGACTTCTGAGTTACGTAAAAAAAAAAAAAATACTGTAACAATACATTTAATGGCTGCATTTCCACTTAGTGGAAAATGTAAAATAAAAAAATTACATATTATTTAAAAAAATTTAAACATATTTAGTTAAAAGAGAATATTTTAGTTTCAGACTCGGAAATTTATTGTTATTAAAAGGGCACAGGAGATAGAAATTTATTAATAATTAATCAGAATTTTCTGACAGCCATTGAGGATAAAAAGGGTAAAAAAAAAAATAGAACAGCTTGACTTCTGAGTTACGTAAAAAAAAAAAAAATACTGTAACAATACATTTAATGGCTGCATTTCCACTTAGTGGAAAATGTAAAATAAAAAAATTACATATTATTCTTTGGGGCAAACAAAAATTGTTGAAGATTAAAACTTTGATTATTTGTTTCTTGAAATGAGAGTAGAAAAATTTAGTTATTAAAACATTCACTGATACATGCAACACATCATCATGACATTCTAGTGAAAAAAAGAAAAATTTGCAGCCATTGCAACAGTGCAGTTGTTATACAACCTTTGCCTCAACATTATACTCTCACATAACAATAAGGAAACTGGGTGGAGTTCCATGAAAAATGTCTTCTTATAATTTGTTGATATTTATACAGTATACATAAAAGGGAAATATTCAAATTGACAACAACAAAAAAAAACAAACATAATTTGGGCGCATGATGCAGTTTTGATGATGTTATTGTGGATAAAGCTCCATATGGTTATATGGTTTATTAGAAGTGGACAGGTTGTCATTAATTATAATGGATGTTGACCTGATCATATCCCTATCTATCAAGCTTGTATCACATTTTAACCAAGAGATTACATGCAAGTAATGAGAAAGATAAAGCTGAAAATGTATGATAGATATGGTGTTTGCAGCAGTCCTATTGATGACGTTAAAAGTACATTATGTTAGCTGGCATTTACATTAATTTTGTTTGTAAGTTATAATAATCAGTTACATTAATAAGGTTTCTAGATTAGCCAAATAATTTTAAAGATTTTGGAAAAAAGAAAAAAAAAACTTTTTCTGCAGCAGAGTCTTTTTAAAGAAGTAATTAAAGAAGATAACCTCAAAACAATTAATTTAAAGAAGACAAAGACCCCATGCATACTGTTTTTAACAGTATAGCTTAGAGCTCTTCAGATAATTTTGACTATGAAATTAAAATTTTGACCTTCAATGTATTAACAACATTCTCATCTAGTCATGCTTTATTTTAAAAAAATCTTTGTCAAGATGTAGTTTAAAAAAACAACAACTGAGAAAAAGCTAAGTATACAGATGTCAACAAATGTAATTTACTGTAATTTTATACAATTAGGCCATTAAAATGAAAATAAAGGAAAAAGGAACTGTGCTATGGAGAGAACTACAAGTAATGTCCTTTTCATTCTTAGTCAAAGCCATCTTCCCTGGTCTCAGCTCTAGGATAACTTCCCAGAAGTAGTTTGGAATAAAACCTCTTCCTACCTGATAAAGATTGAGAGACTGTGGTGTCATGGGACACAGGAACAAAGTATCCTGGGATGTGAAGCCTGAGTCCTGTGAGCTGACACTGGTCAAACGGATAGCTCCAGGTGGGGGCTGTGTGATGGGGGATGATGGGTGGTGAGGATACGGTCAGATGAATGAAAAACAGCAAGAAACCAAATTTACTAGATGAATATGAAATGAAGATTATATATGTATGCAGGTAAGCTTTTCATGGAAGCATATAGTAGGGGCTATACTTGACAGGAAACTACTTTAACAAATACAGGGGGTGTGCAATGATCAACAACGTTTTAATTAATTAATTATAAAATGTCTAAAACTAGCGATTCTCATACTGAGTTTTCCATGCTAAATCTTTAATAAATATGTAGATGAGATTCATAAAGGTTAACAGATCTGTGTCTTGGATATATTGTGAGGAGAACAAAATATTGGCTGTACATATTTGAGATATAATCAACAACAACAAAAAAACCTACTTAAAGTATCCAGCATTAATATAATATAGATGTTCCCTCAGCTCAAAAATGAATTATATAGATTCAGTAAATTATAATCTTGCATCTTTTTTTCCTTTTACATATAAATTTTGTTAGTATTATCTTTTCAATATATTTCTTGGTCCTTTTTAAAAAATATCTTGACAATTATTTCATATAAAATAAAATAGGTCATTACATAATCTTATTCACAAGTTCTAGTTGCACTATCAATCCTCCCACTACTTAAAATAGTTGTTTAGCTCTTTCATTATGTGTTTGCTAGAAATATCAATATTTAACTACCTTTAAACTGACTTTTTCGACAAAAGGGGAAATTTAACTAGAGTTTATAATATAGCCTTGATGGCTCTCGACTGCTAAAAATATACATTTTGAGGCAGTTACAGTAACAATGCAAGCAGAATACTGGTCAGCTTGTGAAGGCCAATCATGCAAAGCAAGGTAGCATAAACAACATTCGGACTGAACAAAATATAGAATCATTCTAAAGCAGAAAGTTAAAATAGTATATAGCATCTAATCTATGAATCTCGGTATCATTAAAGGTTTGAATAAACAACCCACGGGTCAAAGAAATCATGCGAATAATGTAATAGTTTGTGGATAAAATATAAGCTTTGGGAATAAAAATATATTTCGGGGAATATGCATTATTCAAATACGTTTCCAATAATAGTTTTGAATAAGGACTTTCATTAATAATCAGAAATTATTAAAAAAATCATTTTTATTTAGTTTTAAAAAACCTAACTATTTTTTTAAATTTTATTTTTTTAATTTACTATTTAATAAATAAAGAGTAAACGAATAAAAATAAATAAACATATGGAATAATAAAATAAACCTAGTTGCTAATTACTAGTAATATATGGTATCAAAATGATGGTTGCTTTGATGGTTTAAAAGATACATATAGCTCCCACTTTCGATCTTATAAAATAAAATGTCAAGATGACCTTGATGTACAGAATAATTGGGTATGCATTGTAAAAAATATTCAGATACCGATAAACAATTTTTTTTTAAAACCTGATAATTTTTTAATTTAGAATAACTTTTCCAATCCGTAATTTTGAATAACTTTTAGTGAAAGTAATACTGGGAAAATGGAGGCTAAGGCCGACTTTTTTTAAAACCAAAGTAATACAATTTCCACAGACATCGATTGTCTTTCATAGCATCTGAGAATACAACTTCCCATATTTATGATTTTTTTGAAAAAATCTATAGACACATCCCACAATACATTTAACAAATGCTGCAAATAAAAATTTAAAAAAACTGATTAACTATTTTAAAGACTAGTTGGAAAAAAAAGCTCTGAGATTTAAAACAAAGAAAAAATTAGAAAAGGACGGAATAGCCAAAGTAGGGGGTGAAGATTTAATTGCTGAAACGAATGAAACCCTGTACCTGTGAAGCAGTGCGCTTGTGCATGGTGTGGCTTGGAGAGTGAGAGGAGCCGCTGGAGCTGCTGTTAATACTGTTGATGCTGCACATACTTGACTTACGGGAGCCCAGGGATGAGGGGGAGCTGGGAGGGGATGGCTGCTGGGTAGTCCAGTGAAAAGGAGTCAGTTGTATAAGCACAAATTCAACAGTGCATCTCAAGCAGATTGGAGCCATGATCATTTTTACAGGGCTCGAGATTGCACAAATTTCAACATTCATCAATTCAAACTTCTCAAGTGTAAAACAGGCCTTATCCATTAAAATTTAAAGATAAGCATAAAAGAAAGAAAATTTAGTTAGATAGCAATAAAAGACCTTTGAAAATATCTTTAGCTTAATATTACATTAATTAAATAATTATTATAACATCATTTCTCTGTTATCTGTAATTATGAAACATTTGACTTATTTCTGAAGTAAATATGAATAATAGATTCATAAAATAAATTTCATTTTAATATAACTTAGCATTTTTAACCTAATATAAAATATTATTCATTAATAAATTAATTTAAATAAGTAAATTTTGTTTTTTATTTGTGCAGTGGTTAGTTTCATGTGTTGTGCCTAATGTTATTGGGAGATATAGAAATTTTAAAACAATTTTGGATCTAAGATAAAATAACTATTATATCTTATCCAATATTGGAGATAATTAAATTTTTTTTTAGTGATTTCTTTTATTATACTTTAACATCAACAAAAAAAAAAAAAAAAAAAAAAAATTCCTAAAAAAAATTTTTTTTTTTTTTTTTTTTATTTTTAAATAAAATAAAAAAAATTTTTAAAAAAAAAAAAAAAAAAAAAAATTCCTACAATAAATCAATTTTTTTTAGTTCAAATCAAATTTGGTTTTATTTGCATTAATGATTTATATTAAACTGTATGTACCATATCTTAAATATATTGTATTACGTTAAAAACATAAGCTTTTTGATCTACCAAATTTGTAACTATGAAAAACAATAATGCTATCCAAGTTCATGCTAAAAATTTTCTTCACTGGCATTATAAATGATAAACAGCTTGAATTTCCTAAAAGAAAGCTGGCTGAGCAAAACTGACTTCATGCAGGCTGAAAGTAAAACTTTTTGTTTAAATTCTCATCAGCTGTGTTAGTAAGAGGATGATGTAAACCTACTGTCATCAGTTGTGTACATCTCCAAGGATAAGCCATGAGCACCAACCTGATTTAAGCTCCAAGTTGCACCATCAACACCTTTCAGATCCAGGATGACCTGCTCACTAGAGGGTGGTAGGACTGAAGGATCACTGGCTTGTAGACACAAGCTCTCCATAATTTCACCTATGTGAGAAATCTCTGTCAGAAGTTTCAGCTCATTATCCTGGAGAAGAAAAATACAACATGGTTAAGATTGCCGAGTATGTATGATTTATGTCAACAAAGGCAAAATGCCTGTGATAACAAAATATAATTACAAACTATAAGTGATAAACAAAGCTATTAAATAATGTTGTACCAATGTCCATCTGTCAATTTTTTAATTTTTTAAAAAACTGCAAAACTGTTATTTCGAATGTAAATGAAGACAAAAAATGTCATCAGTTAATGTTTGTGTATGCACAAAGAGAAATTAAATTTAAATTTATGTTATTTTTATTATTCATTTTAAGAGAAAAAATTTTTAAAAGATGAAAGACAGACTTACAACAAATGGTTTAAGGCAGGTGATAAAAAGACAAAACCTCGACCTCTCCTCAATAAGCGCAGCCCTGACAGAGTTTTTCTCTGTTTCCTCTAACTGGTGGTATTTAGAGTTGACCTCCAACATGGCACTCTCAAGCTTGTGATGCATGTCTGACTTGCCTGAAAATAACGAATATGCAGTAGCTTCTTAATTTTTAAACAATGAAAAATACAAAGCAATACAAACAAGCCACCAATAATGTAATTTCAGTTAATGCATTCTGTGGGATGGGGTAAGTCTGGGTTTTAATGTGATAAACACCATTTATTTGACATTTATTTTTAAGATAAGGAAAAATTACAAGTTTCTGTGCCATTCACACACCACCCGTCAAACCCACTGAACACCACCAACACTTGTTTTAAGTGAAGTAAGATATGAGAGTAGTGAAACTCATGTAAATTAAATAAATTAGACAGAGATTTAGTTATTTTTTAACGATTACAATGATGTATAAAATTTTTTTTAAATTAAATGTTACACGCATTCATATTTAAAAAACAAACTTTAAAAAAGAATGTGTTACAAAAATACCATTTCCCTAAAATCTATCCCTTAGGATTCAGTTTGAATAAATTAAATAATCCTTCAGTCGCCCTCTGCACCCCTTTTACACATTAACTTCTATCAGTTATATCAAATCAGGTAAAAGGATTAGCTCATTGACAACTTCTGATCAAAACCATCTTAAAAAAAAATAAAAAACAGAAGGAATTAATTACCAATTCATAAGGATGAAAATGTGAGAAGTATCACACAAAGATAAATATTGTTTAATTGTATTTAAATGACCTCGTGTATTTGTTTGTCAGCACATGAGCATTCTTGACAGGGCTTTGCAGGCTGAGAACAAGTTGAGCAAACAAATTCCATGCCAAAGCCAATACCCAGTTGGGAAATGTAACTAAATCCACAGACAGAGCGGACTGTGTGTTAGTGTGCAAGGATAGTTCATGGCTCTGTGCTGAGTCCAGTGCTGAATCAAATATTCATACTATCCAAACAAAAAAAACAGGAGCAAAAATGAGCCGTACACCAACTGTTTGTATTATATTAAAGAAAACAATGCTGTAGAAATTTACAAATGTACCGAGAGTCCTGTTTTAATGTTAAAAATCCTGTATATAAGAAATTGTCCTTTCTTCATGAGGGCCAACTGGTAAATAGAGGCATATTTATTCTTTAAATGCTCATCTTAAGGAAGCGTAAAGAAAAGCATAAAAATAAAGCAAACATGGAAATGCAGGTATCTACTTAAAAAAGAATATCTAGATTTTGACATAGCTCCTTCATAACAAGCATCAAAAGAATTTTTTTTCTTTTCACTTCTTCAATAGTTCACATCCAACTAAACAGAGGCAACATAGGGAACTTTCTGTTTTGGCTAAGCATCAAGGTCACAACCAAGAAAAACAGAAGACTGCCATGAATGAAGCATATAGGAAGGAAGCAAAGAGAATTTCTGATACTTGTTATACTTGTTTTTATCTTTGTTTTCTGATGAAGGCTCTAAGCCAAACCGTCAAAATCTTTTGTCCTGTTTATGAATTCAAGTTTAGCATACCTTGCTCTTATATTTCATACACAACTTGAATGCAGTCCATCAATCATTATCTTTTAAACACATGAGTGAGTCAGGCCACAGCCCAACATAGGCTGTAGTGCCACAGAATACATTTTTAGTTGTGCAAAAAGCAAGGGTCTTATTCAATTAGAGGGAAAAAAAAATACTTTGGGATTTAGGATAAGATGGGGGGGGGGAGAGAGGGAGAGAGAGAGAGAGAGAGAGAGAGAGAGAGAGAGAGAGAGAGAGAGAGAGAGAGAGAGAGAGAGAGAGAGAGAGAGAGAGAGAAAACAATATCTGAATACGCTCCTTTGTAGAAACTGCTGTTAATGATTCTTTATAAGTAATCAACAGTGAAAATGATGGATCATAATGTAAACAAATCACTAATTGAAATTTCTAGAGTACGAATTTGTCAGAACAGAGTTACTTTGAAGTCTATTCCATGCCATCAGCCCAAACCTAAATAATGAATTGAATACAAGATCAACATTCCTGGAGGTGTTGAGGAAAAGAAAACAAATACAAAGAAGGGACTGGAAAGAAAATGGGACTTTGTCTTCTCTTTGACACTGACAAGCTGGGACAAGTATAACAATACAGAAAAAACAGCAAAAAATAACTATGTCACAGAAACCATGACCTATTTATATCTTGAAATATTTGTTTGCTAAAAACTAAGGATTAAACAATGATCAGATATCCTGATTTGGTTTGGTTTCACAAATTATAATAACTCAATTATTGGTATCCCTTTTTAAGAGAATCCAGAACTTTTTATCATTATTAAATAAGTAAAAGACTTTTAAAAAGCTTCAACATCTTGTTTAACACTATTTCATAAAAATATATATAATTTGGGAAAGAAAAAAAGGGATGGAGGGAGAATGGAGGAGAAGAAAGGAGATCTCATAAAAAGAAAGAAAAGCAAATGCTTTGATGAGCGCTCAGTATAAAATCCATCATGATTTTTTTTCTTTGCAGTTGTGTGTTCTGCTGTAGAATTTAAATAATAAGTTTGCTGATTGCACTACAGCAGTCAGGTCACTGGTAAAAACTATAGGTTTTCGAGCACATCATCTTCTGCTTACAATCTTATAAAATATAATATTTATAATATGTCTGACCTTGCTGTGCAGACTGATTGAGGATGCATTTTAAAGTAAAAAACAATAACCATTTTAAAATCAGGTTTCTAAAACCAGCAACCGGGTAGCTAAACCTCCCCACAACCCCCCCCCCCCTTTCTAAAACCAAATATCCTACCTAGATGTATTAGATGCCTTGGTATTTTAAGATTGATTGTTCCTAATTATTGATTGACAATGTGGAGCAATGTTGTGATAAGATGGCTCACTGACAGAAAATGAATTAATAGATGATATATTACAGCTAACCCTTCTACCCATGAAGGACATAAAAAAAACTGCAAGAGGCTTTTTTTTTTTATCAGTGCATCATCAGTTACACTTGTACCATTATGGTTTTAAAGATTTTATCTTTGTTATAGTTTGCTCGTAGAAGAAACAATGCGTAACAAATGACCGATCAAAGAGTATGCAATGAAAACAATACCAAAGCTAGTGATACTAAATTTAATTAAATTAAATAAATACATTTTTATATAAATACAAAGTTGAGTACAGAAGCAAAAACCTGTATCGACTTACAGCAAGTGAAAAAGGTACAATCAACAAAATACACATTTTTTATTAATATAATATCAATAATATAATGTCTTTTACATCTATTTGCTAAGAAACCTGACAGGCTTTATGTAGGAATTAAATTCGAACATTCCAGTAAAGAAAATCTAAAAATTGCATCACCTAATGTTATTCTTGAGAAGAAATGGAATGATTTGGAATGTAAACAACCTTTTCCCCAGCCGAGAAAGGGGTGGGCAGGGAAGAAGTGACACAACACAGTTACAAAGTGATGTCAATATCAAGGTCTTCCTAGCAGACAAGTTTTGGTGGCTTAAAATAGTTCTATGTTGAAGTTAAAAATCAATCAAGCCCTACGCTGTACTAGGATATATATACAACAGATTGCATAGAGTTTTTTTTGTCTACAGGTACATCTTATTACTATGTTGAAACAAACACTATAGAGTGTCATGCTATAACAAAATGAAAGGCCTCGCCATTTTACACTATAGAGCAGTGGTTGTCAACCTTCCTAACGTCTCAACCCTTTAATACAGTTGGACGTGTCGTGATTGTCGTGGCGACCCCTAGCCACACAGTTATTTTCGTTGGTGCTTTATAGCAGGAAGTATATGTGTTCTCAGATGGTCTTAAGTGACCCCTGGGAAAGGGTCATGCAACCCACAGGTTGAGATCCGTTGCTATAGAGTGTCATGCTATAACGAAATGAAAGGCCTCACCATTTCACACTATAGAGTGTCATGCTATAACAAAATGAAAGGCCTCACCATGACTAGTTCCTTTCCTGACCTTCTTTTGTAACCTCATGGTATCTGATGCAGCCTTTTTGATATCCTGTTTAGCTTTCTTGTATTCTGAAGGTTAGGAAGAGAATATTTTTACTAAGTGAATAATGTGAGTTTTTTGCCTTTTAAATTCTAGTAAACGTTATTAGCAACCCTGAGAAAACAACTAAACACACTCACAAAATATCACAAAAATGGGTACCATTTAAATTACTAAAAAAAAATATTTAAAAAAAAAAGGTTTCTGTTTACAAGGAAAAAGAATAATTTCTAGCACATATAAAAATGAAGACTGTAAAAAGACATGATTAGAATTTCAATGGATCAAACCTTTAGAATGGTCCTTGTCTAGTTGGGCCACAACTTTTTTCCAATCTTCCAATTTTTCTTGTAAGGGGGCTACTAGATTGTCAAGTATAGAGCTGATGATGATAAACAACAATTAAGATTATTTTTTAAAATTACTATAAGAATTGAAAACATTCTGTTGATTTAGGTCCTATGATTTTAATATTATTTTAAAAGTATAGTCTACTACTTTCAATATAAATATAGAATATAATACAGGTAAATAATTTTTTCAAACGTACATATTATATTTATGTATGTTAGTACAGGCACACTAATTAAATTGCGTATATTTGTTAGCTGTACGATTTTACCTAGTTAGAACTTTTAAATGTGATTCTATACTTCTGTGTCGCATACATAACCGTGTCAAAGCCGAACCTATTTCTCTTGTAGCACCTGTAAATTTTACAAAAAAATTGTTTTTACCCATCATAAAATGGAACAATTAAGAACTTTTAATATTGTTAAGTTTAAGTGCCTAGTAAATCACAATGGTCAATTCACTTGCAAAGGTTACCAAGCAGCAAACTACAATAACTTTGAAATCTGTTAAGTTGAATAATTTTTTTTTTTATGCGCTAACATTATACTTTTATGTACGTGTCATATTCTCAGCGATGTTTTTGAAACTGGGCATCTTCCCACTACTTTTTTAACCAAGGTTGCGCTGTGACTCACAACATGACAGAAAATATGTAATTTTGTGTGTGTTGAATTTTGCTGTGCTAAACATTGAAATGTTAATGTCTAAAACAAATCTAAAAGACTATTGTGAGAAATCTTGCTTCTATTGATTATTCCTTTATACCCATCCCTGCTTATACCTATAAAAAGATACATTTTCAAACAGAAACATATTAACAAAAACACAAATAAACAATCTAATGTTAACCTTGATGAGCTTATATCAAAATTACTGAACATTTTGAAATTTAATCACCCTGATGAAAGGACATTTAATTCAAAATGTACAAGCTCAGACAGTACTTTGCAGTGCTACCACAATAATCATTAAAGACTCATCAGAAAAATACTCTTAGTGGAGCATGAACATCTGGATCAATGCATCTCTAATTAGCAAACATCTAATGTGTAACAAGCTCATTGATTATTACCACTTATAAATAACCCTTTTGCCCCTCAGATCAAAATAATAATATAAAACCGGACACGCACAAAATTGAACTTTCTTTCACACCTTGTTATTCATTATATTGATTATTTTATTCTAAGAAGTGGAAACTCAAGGAATAAGGGTTTGGTCTTTAAAAAGAGAAATAGATGACAGAACAAACTAAAATTCCTAATGGCTAATCAATGCAAGACTGCCACAAAGGTACCTCTAATTAGTATGACCTTATTTTGTCATTTACCATTAATAAGATTAAGTGGATCATCCCAATGTTTTGTGTGTATATTAACCTTGAGTGTTTCAAACTCAATCATTTCCAATGATATCTTAACCACTGGAACACAGCCAATAAAACATTTGTATAACTTCAGTTTGTCACCACTTCACACACTTAAGTGTTGTGATGTATAAATTGGATGGAAATACTTCCAGCGGTCACTTTTTATTTGTTAAACGTGACCATAAAATGCACATGAGGCCATTTAATTAGCGAGATGGCAAGTGCTTGACTCAACAATATACACCGCTTATTCTCAAAGCCTAGAAGAAACTTAACTGAAAGATTTAAGTTGAGCTCAAACCCCATACAAAAACATAGCCAACAGAAACTTCAATGTTTATATGAAAAATGTTTTGGTCATCTTATAATTTTTTTTTTTTAAAAGTGCCTTCAAGTATTGAAAAAATGATGCACATGTTTCGAAATTAACCCTGGGAGGAGCTAGCACTTCAATGCTCAAGTTCCGATTGTCATTAACATGGATACAGACTGTCTATATATGAGAGTAGTTCAAGTAGCTTAACCTAACTCATGCATGCATCCATGTCTACAGCAGACAGATAATGGAATTATTACAAGCTTCCAGTTTGCCAGGAAATATAATTAAATACCATGACAAAAATAAATAATTAAAAAATAAAACCATTATTAAAAAAAGCGCATGACAATTAGGTATATTTTAAGTATAGTAAAAACATTTACTTTCATATTCTCTTATTTAACTAGCAGTATCACGACAATACTGACAAGCTATTTTTATTTAGGCAAAATACTTTTAGACTAACTATTTTACTGACCTTTAGAGTTTGTAGCCATATCTGCTACTTTCTGAAACGCTTCAAGAAAGGCACCAATAGTAACCACAGTTGTCCTATAATATAATTATATATTATAATGCAGTTATTTTTGTTATTTCGAGCATTAAAAAAGTAAAATAATTGGTGGAAAGCAAAAATATCTTATTTCAAAAATTAAGGTAAGATTTCAGTCATAAAAATGTATTTTTCCATGTTAGCACCATAAATGTACACAACACCATTTAATTACAAAAAAAGATATTGCCTGTTTCTGCGTAGAGCAGTTTCATCACCTTAGATGAGGTGTACACTTTCATATTTCCATCTTAGTTTTCAAATTTTTACCCTGAGCTTTATTCCTTTTTGTAATACATCTGTAATAACCAGTGTACAGCCTTTATCTTTTAATAATTTCTTAACTTATCAAAACTCACTTAAGTGAAGAGTGAAGTTTCATAGACTTGTAAGTAAAATCTTCCCATACTGGAGAGCTACCCTAGAGAGACAAAATGATTATTATGTTTTCTTTCCTCCAAATATTTGAACAAGAACAAAAAGTTATGACACTGGGCATTCTGTATTAATTTAATTATTAGCTTATTAAGAATTAAATTTAATTCTATTACATGGGATACAAATATATTAAGATCATTAAAATATTTGTGAGATTAGAACACCTGTTTAAAAATGTCTATAAAAAAAAGCGCAATCCGAATGAATTATTTTATAAATTTTCAAGTTTGAAAACAAAAAAAAAAAGTTGGGGAGTTGGTAAACATTACGTTTTGTATGCAGTATCATGTATGAAATATTGCAGTCTTGAAATTATCACAACTTAAATTGTGGAGAAGGAAACTTAAATTTCTTTTTACCTAACAGCTTCTAAGTACAAACACTTCATATTACTATTACAACTTAGAGGCCTATAATAATCATGTAGCACAAGTGTGTGACACTTAAACATTTTTTTTTAAAATTCATTTAATACATGCCCAACATTACTGCATAGCAGCTAAACTCCTTTTTCATGGCCACATTTAAATAAGAAAAACCATGATGAAGTATTTTATAATATTAGCCTATAATAAATAGAAATCTTGAATTATCTTTTGAACCTAAAAAAAAAAACTTTTTAAATCCAAAATAAATTATTTATCAAGTAGTGTATGTTAAATGTAAAATTTTAAATTATTCAGTACAATAATTTTTATTATCACATTTTTTGTGTGCTTGCAAGAAGGGTTGTTGAAAAAGTGTTTGATTCTAATTAAAATATCCTTTCAGCAACAAACTTGGTACTTAGTATATAGCATGGCCTAATTTGGTTGAAATGGTGGAAGTGGAAGCTAGCACTTATTTGATATTATCAAAAACCTAGAACAGCAGGCATTAGTGGTTGCCTACAGTAATTACAAGACACCTCTCCATTTACACTAACAGTAACGGACCATTCTTAATTGGTTAAAGTTTTATTACTTCCGGTATACTATTACAAAGACCCAACAGGAAGGAATGATCTTCATGAGCTAATCATGTGTACTGAAAAGGTCACCAAATAATTTTATTCATTGCGCAGTCAAACACTAATAATATTTTGCAGCAAGTAAATTAAATTGACAAATGCAGCTTTTCCCCCAATTAAATTAGATAATTTTTCATGAGAAAATAAATTTATTCAGTAATATTCCCTTTCTTTGTTTAGCGATAACAGAGTTACTTAAATATATTTCAAATAAACTATCCAAAAGAGCATGCATTTTTAAGCAAACCTCCATATTCAAATAATGCATGGATTTTTACCTTGCACTAAATGAAATCTCTCTATATAAGGCTTACACAATTTAAAAATAGTTACCCTTAAGTCATTGACAACTGTTTGAAACAGTCCTCCAAGTATTCCAACATCTTTTTCAGGATTAGTTTTTGGTTCCTCCATTTTTCCAAAATCAACAATGAATGGTTTTGTTCACAAGAAAGAACAGCAACACTGTTTACTGGTTTAAAAGCAAAACACTTTTTTTTTCCAGCTGCCAGATCCTGCTTAGATTATCCAGTAAGGCCAATGTAGGTGAGAAACATATTGAAACTCACAAGAAATGTTCATGTCCAAATGGAACCCTGTTAGATTTGTTTTTAAATTAGAATAGGGTCGGATTGTGATAAAGATTAAAAGGAGATAACTATGAATGTAAACAAGTATGATAAAGCTTTATTGAAGACGCACCAAAATAGACAATGTTTCTGCTTAAGCCTTCTTCAGCAAAGTTATAATATCATCATGTTTATCTACCGAAGAAGCTTTTTAGCAGCTATTCCCCATTAAAAAGGATGTCAGCCTTAACGAAAAAATAAAATAAATGGAACCAACAGCCAACCATATCGTTTAGACCACTCTACCAGCCATGTGTGTTTAAAGAACCAAATTAAAAGAGAAATTAGCATTTCCAAAAAATTGCAGTAACTTCCATAACATGATACAAAAATCTTAACAACACTTAAATGAAGCAACATTCACCATTTACTACTTCCATAACATTACCATTTCTGGCGAAAAATTAAAATGCCTTTTTTTAATTTCAAGGGAATCCTTGCGTATTATTTCAAAATTGAATTGATTCAGAAATATTGTATTAAGCAACAGACAGTACAAATACATTTGGGAAGGGATTCTCAGTGAATATTTAAGGTAAATATTTGATTAAGGTGTCCTAGGTAAGAAAATGTATCAAAACACAAAGAAGTGTCAAGTACTTTCACAAAAATGGTAGCAATATTGAATAAAATCAATATACAGAACTTTAGCTGACATTTAAAGTTTAAAATATTCCAGATTTCTTGCAGTATCTCTCTCTACTATCAGATATGATGTCAAATTCAGTATTTTATCCTATCTTGGACAATTTAAAATATTCAAAAATGAAAAGCCATAAGCCTATTAGTTAATAACAAATAATGTTAACACTGTACCTCGTCCATTAAAAAAATAATAGCATGCAGATCTCATTTAAGGCTGATCCAAACATAAATTGATTCGTATCTTTTATCAGACGGGACACCACTCGGGGAAACAAGACATCCCAAAGTGGTATCAAAAAGATGCTAAAGGTCAAGGGGATATTAAACTATGAGAAAAGAAAGTGTTGTGTTTCTATGGCTGTACACAGTTCCAAACAAAAAAATGTTTTAAATAGCTTTTATTTAACAAAACATTATATGGCTTTATATGTGCGAAATATGACGTATCATGTATCAAAAAATATACATGATCATATCTTATATGACTCCTATCATGCTAATTTGGATGGATATTAGAAAATAATATTTATGAATTTTAAAAACTTTCTGATGAAAGACCCAAAATACATTTATGATAGCAAACAGGTTGAAATTAAACCAAAAATTCAAACTGAAATGTGGCAATGATTATCCCAATCTTAACAAGTACTACCAAGTCTAAGAACTCAACACAGACCTGTACAAGACCCAACCAAACCCAGTCAAGAAAAAGCTAAATTGAGATATGGAAATAATGACAAGGCCATGATTAGCTGTTGACCTACATACAGACAAGCATTACAATGCTTAGGGAAAGTTACACACATTTTTTGTGGTCATTTCTTATTGTTTTTTTAGCTGGTTTTTAAAAGATGGACCTTTAATATTATTTTTTTTTAAAAGAAAAGGTTAATTATGTTATAAAAAAAAAGATCCACACGAATGGCTCTAGATATTTTAAAAATGAAGGTATTTACACAGAATGAATTAAGTGTCTATGGTAATCTCTACCAAGGTGTTATCTGTCAAGAGTACTTTCAACCTACAAATACATCTTCCTATCTTGAAGAAGGGTGCAGAAAGCAAATATATTTCTTGCAGGGTCTTAACAGTATCAGAATCAACAAATCTCAGAATCACAGATCAATAATCATAATGAAGATCAGTTTTTGATCACTTCATTTCATCACAATAACGTTTTTATTTCCATCAACGTATTTATATTTTGGATGGCTTTATTGATACTGTCAATGAGTACACTTTCATCCACCTAAAATATGAATACATAAACATAAACCTGTTGATTTACCAGAAGTATAATTATTATTCATACTACTTTGTTTGAAATATTATTATCAAGTATGACAAGACTTTAGGACTTACGCCTTAGCCACCTACCAAAAAATACCAGACAACAACAACAACTAATATAGAAAGAACAACTGCGCAGAGTGTGCTAATTCTTCACCATGGCCTCGGGCCAAAGGTAACATGCCCAAATGGCTACAAGATCTGAATAATAAATGTAGTAAATTTGTATGCATCCAGGTATCTTAAAACACTGCCATTTCCAATGCATTAGTTATCTATACTAGCAATACTGGATGTTTTGTTGATGTCTCCATCAGTACCTCTCCTACAAGCATAGTCAAGAAAAAGGTGATTATTGAAAATTCGCAATAATCAATAAATTGGGCTTATAAAAAAAACAAAAATGTAAATAAATTTCTGTCAGTCATTTAATACAAGTTTTAGAACCACTGGTCTACATGACAAGTTTTTACTTGGAGGGACACATCCCATCCTATGTGACAGATCCAGGGACAGACTAGTGTGACATATCCAGGGACAGACTTGCGATGTCTTAGCTTTTACTTAGGTCGAGGCTAATCCATTCTCAGTTACTAAGTTTAAATTATAGGAGAATAAGAAGTGTAAAAATTGGCTTCACGCCCAACGAAACTTAAACATTCTTCACCCACTTATCTTTGCTAAGAGGATTAACTATTTCCTTAGCCAGCCCTAATTATAATTAAATTTTACTTATAAATATTTAGACTGTAGTGACTAATAACGTCCCCTCCAATAACTCTAAAGCTGTGAAAGTGAGCACACAAGATATAAAAAGAATTTTAACTGTAGCCTGTAATATTGCAAATCTTGGGCTCTTTTTCGGGGTAATATAATTTGCGGTTACTTGTGAAAAATGAAGGGGGTCATTCAGTAAGCTATCAGAGGAAACCTTAGCTACAAATATGCTAGTGTATTATTTCAAATGGAGAGGAGAAAGAATGCTTCAAAGGTCTCCTTAAAGTGTCACTCAAATCTTTGGACATTGCCCTGAATTCATGGGAAACACTTGCATTAATGCTTTGTATTGCACACCATGGCAAAGTACTCACTCACTGTTGAAACACACCAGTGAGTTAACGTTCCTCTCAAGTCCTAAGAAAACGCACAGCAATGAAAAGCTACAATTACAACAACAACAAAAAAAAAAAAAAAAAAAAAAAAAAAAAAAAAAAAAAAAAAAAAAAAAAAAAAAAAAAAAAAAAAAAAAAAAAAAAAAAAAAAAAAAAAAAAAAAAAATAAAACAAAAAAAAAAACAAAAAAAAAAAAAAAAAAAAAAAAAAAAAAAAAAAAAAAAAAAAAAAAAAAAAAAAAAAAGCGAGTAACAATTGTATTAAATTTAAATTTAGTACAAATCAAAACCAAAAAAGAACACATTTTCCCCAAATTCTCCTGCTTGATAAAAAATTATCGAAGGTCCCAGAAACTGAATAAGTACAAAGAGAAACCCATACCAGATTATTTGATTCGTAACAATCATTAAGTATTCTGAATAGCCAAATTCATGTGTAGGCCTATGTATTTCTGTATTGATGTACTGATAATGAACATACTAATTAACTGACATACATTCTGTATTGAATTGGTCCATATCATGGTAAACACAAGATGTCGTCCCTGTATCAGTTTATCACTATAATTTGTTAAAACTTGGGCAAGTCAGATAGTTAGGGATGAATGGTTGGACAAGTCAGATAGTTGCTGTGAAGACTAGATGGACAAGTCAGTGATGACTGACTGGACTGGTTGGACAAGTCAGATAAACTGTAAAAAAACTAGCTGGACAAGTCATACATATCAAAGCTAAGTCTAATTAATTTAATACAATATGTTAAATTAAGATTTTTCTAAACCTTAAGACACAAAGAAAATATTTTTCTTAATAGTTTAATGACAATGTTCTCAGCTGATCTTCTCACTTGTACATTTGTTTTGAAAGTAAAAGCATCTTTATTCTAACAATTTCATTCCAAATTAATAACTTTAAAATTAAGAGTGTTCATATTATTTATTATACTGTCACTGGCTGTCTTGGTTTGTTGTGTGTCTTGGTTTGTTGTGTGTCTTGATTTTTTAAGTGTCTTGGTTTTTTGAGTGTCTTGGATTGTTGAGTGTCTTGGTTTGTTGAGTGTCTTGGTTTGTTGAGTGTCTTGGTTTGTTGGGTGTCTTGGTTTGTTGGGTGTCTTGGATTGTTCAGTGTCTTGGATTGTTGGGTGTCTTGGATTGTTGAGTGTCTTGGTTTGTTGAGTGTCTTGGTTTGTTGTGTGTTTTGATTTTTTAAGTGACTTGGATTGTTGAGTGTCTTGGATTGTTGAGTGTCTTGATTTTTTAAGTGTCTTGGATTGTTGAGTGTCTTGGATTGTTGAGTGTCTTGGTTTGTTGAGTGTCTTGGTTTGTTGAGTGTCTTGGTTTGTTGAGTGTCTTGGTTTGTTGGGTGTCTTGGTTTGTTGGGTGTCTTGGTTTGTTGGGTGTCCTGGATTGTTGAGTGTCTTGGATTGTTAGGTGTCTTGGATTGTTGAGTGTCTTGGTTTGTTGAGTGTCTTGGTTTGTTGAGTGTCTTGGTTTGTTGAGTGTCTTGGTTTGTTGTCTTGATTTTTTAAGTGACTTGGATTGTTGAGTGTCTTGGTTTGTTGAGTGTCTTGGTTTGTTGAATTTCTTGGTTTGTTGAGTGTCTTGGTTTGTTGAGTGTCTTGGTTTGTTGAGTGTCTTGGTTTGTTGAGTGTCTTGGTTTGTTGATTCACTTGGTTTGTTGAGTGTCTTGGTTTTTTGAGTGCCTTAGTCTTGGTCTTGGTTTGTTGAGTGTCTTGTTTTGTTCATAACACAAAACAGAGGTAGAAAAGCACTGGCCTTTCTTTCTCTCTCAGTGTCAGCAAAGGCCAACACTACACCTTTATTTAAAATTAGGGGTGTGCCGGACCCCGGTCCGGAATCCGGTTCCGCCGGATTTTGCACTATCCGGTGAAATCCGGTTCCGCCGGATTTACATGTATCCGGAACAACCGGATTCCGGATTCCGGAATATACCGGATTTCGGAATTTGCCAGATTTTGTGACTCACCGGATCATAATCTGAAATAAAAGTAATTCTCTTTCCCGAATTTCACACGATCACGATACATTAATCGATTGTTTCGAGCGTTGAGCTTGTTTAATGTTTAATATTCCGTACATACCAGAGGCTAGAGTCAGCACCGCTAATAGTGGCCAATAGTGTAGGGACTTTGATAAGAAAATTTAAACTTTTTGTAAAAATAAACCAATGGCATAGTTGAAAAGATGTAATTTTTTAAAGAATTATAACACCAAAATCATATTTTTAGCTGTTGTAGTTTTAAAGTTATGAATTTTTAAAGTACGACTTGGTTTGTCATTTTTTAACATGGACTGCATCTCCACATTCTGTGATCTCATTCCACCAATCCCGTCATGCGCAATGACTATATAGTTTATATAAGGCAACGCATTCCCTGCCTTATCACTAAAATACTGTTTAGACTTAGTTTAAACTTTCAACTTTGGCACATGAATAATTAATTAAAGCTTTCCCTGACCAATGGTTTAATAGTTTTTGCACACGGCAAACTCTTATGAATGAAACTCTGAGGTAGTACTACGATACAGTTATGCAAGTGGCTGTGAATGGTTGCCAATGACAACGTGTTGCACACGGTAAATTCTGATCATTTATAATATGGATTCTACCGGGTTGTTAAAGCTCAAATTAAAACATTCCAGTTTAAATGTCTTTAAATGCATTCTGAAACACAAGTTATCAATTATTTTGATGTAAATAGTGATAATAAATTAATATTTCCTAAGTATCGTCAACTTCCGCCATTAAAAAGGGGGGCGTGGCCAACCCCATGGCGAAATTAGGTTGAGCGAGCTGCATAACCTGCTGCGAACGCGTAGAAACATGGCGTCTCTCGTAAGACACTTATCCAAATGGAACGGAACTCAAATATATATCGAAAGTACTAATTTAATAATAAATAGACACACACATCGGAAAATTAAAAACTCGGATTTTTTGGCGCCGATTGCGAATTCCCATACACAAAAAGTAGTAGTCCACCTTGACTTACCGAAGTATCTACCAATAGTACCAAAATCCGGAATCCGGGAGAAACCGGAATCCGGATCCGGCGGATTTCGCATAAGAAAATCCGGATCCGGATCCGGTTGGAAAAAACGGATCCGGCACACCCCTATTTAAAATCTCCAAAGTAAAGGTGGTAAAGGGTGGAATGGGCTCAAACCAACTACGTCATTGTCATCACTCCAGTTGTTTAAAGTATAATTTAGTCTAGTTGGCCTGCCTAAGATTAATCAGTTTAAATATTAATAATTAATAATCTAACATACAAGCCAGGTTTTAACACTTGAAAAAGTAACTGAACACGATTTTCAAACTATGCCTAAGGCCCAAACCCAAAACGGTAAATTTTTAATTTACGGGCGGCAATGGTACAGGACATCAATAGAGGACTACATTTCCCCTTATTTGCAACAATATAGCATACATAAAAAAAAATGGTGTCCAAGTCCAAAGCAAAATTTTATCACCAAACCTAGCCTAAGTCCTAACCTAACCTGAGTAGCCCAAACCCTAATCTGAGTAGCCCTAACTCTAACCCAAAAAAAGAGGACACCTATGATCTATTAGCTTATTGTGCCCTATTCAGGCTAATTTGCAGTCACTGCCTTAGCCTTAGGACTTAGGGCGAGACAACTCTTGTCAAAACTTGCACTGTTTACTCAATTGCCCCACTCCAAGATATAGACAATATACTAATCTATAATAGTCTATATCATAATAATATATATACTGAATAATATTGTCTAACTATATAACACTGATTCACCTATATATCAATCCATACCTACACTTTATATACTTTGACTTTGAATATACTCAGTTTAATTATTACATTAGGCCCCTATTATTACTAGACTATGACTATCCATAATAATAATACTAATACTCTATTAGGCATTGTCTAGATTGTTTTGGCTTTAAAAAGTTAATTTTATATTGGCCACTTACATTAAGGTCAATTTTCCTTCATTTGCTTAACCAACTGTAGGGATCTAATCTATGCAAGTCTTTAGAAGAAATCTTGCCACTCCCACTGTTGATAATTCCACTCCTCTCTTCTTCTTAGGCCCAGCCAAGCCAAGGCCAAGCCTTTATCAAATGAAATTTCTAATCAACTATTGGTGTTGGTTGTTATTTTAACCAAACTTGTATCAAATATTACAGTACACGGGGCAGTTCTTAAAGTTATTATGCGGAGGAAACGTTTTTGAAATTGTTAGTACAGCGGTATTAATTCGAATATAAATAAATATTTATATAGGAATAAGGTACTAAAATAAATTTAAGAAAAAAACTAGTGAACCATTCATGCCTATTTTTACGGAACCTAGATAAAACAGAACGTATTTCTCCTACTGAACACTACTAAGTTCCACACTCCGAAAGCCTAAAGTCTAAATCAATCGCCTCCATTTTCACGAAGAGATTATCCAATGCACAAAGGCGAAAGGTTGCTTCAAAAATTACACTATTGTTTATATCCACAACACTATTTAGCTCGAAACATGGAGGAGCAACGAACTCGTTTCACTCGTTGTCACGTGACTTCAACAGCTTCTACGATTGGGTTCACGAATCGAGTATTTCCTTTTTACCTTTGACCTTTTTTCCTCTTCTTTCTTTAAAAAAAAAAGTACCATTTAAAAAAATAAATGATGGCAATAGTGGCGATATGGGATTTTAAGTTGGCATTTAACGTTGTCGAAGTGCTTCATTGCGTTGGAAAATGTAAACGATAAATAGCACATCAGTTTCTAATAAAGAAATTCTCCAGTCCTGCTTCACATGATGGATTATTTTATAGTAACTTTGCAATGGATGCTACTGCACCATAAACGTAAAACGTGACGTCATCTCAGTACCTTGGCTGTAGTCTCCCAGATCTAATTGTTGGTGGTGCATGTCAATGCTTACCGGCTAAGCCATGGCATTTTATGAAGGAAAAAAAT